TAGTCTTTCTATTTGTTTTCTTTTGCATGCTAACCCTTTCTGTAATTATAACTGTATTTTTTTTCTCTTAAACCTTTGATAGTACGATCTGCTCTTGCTAGGGCATGAGCTCTAGCTGTTTAGTGTCCATTTGGTTTTGATGACATTAGCAAACAGGGTAGTCTAACAATAAAGCGTTCTTTTTTGGAATCATTAGGACTCACAATAGTGCTAGAATATCCACTGTACAATCTTTTCTGTATCTTCTTGTGCATGCTGTAAATTTTTCGTTCCCGCTTGGCATACGCTGTCGATAAAAAGACAAAAGAGAAATAAAATAGGATAGAAAGAATAAAGACACGGACAAAGTTTTTGCTCATAAAAAAGTTAAAAAGAAAAGAAGTACTATGCAGCAGAAAACAGTTGTACACAGTTACTTATCAGCCATGTAGGCAAGACCAAACCAGCTTCCGCGACAAAGCTCAAACTCTTTATTTGACGGTACTTCGTAACTGTGCATGAAAGTCCCCTTTAGGAGGTTTGTTTAGACAGCTTATTCTTAAAGGATGCCAAAGAATGAGCCTCAGCAAAAGATGCTGGCAGGTTGTTCCACAAAGGGATACCTGAACTTCATAACGTCAGTGGATGTTGAATACTGCAGGAAAAGGGTACTGTGTGGCGATCTTGGTCTGGGTTTAGTGAGTGTTAAGAAATGGCGGGGATCTATCTCCACAAGTTGATGGATGGTTTCGTAAAGCATAATGAGTTGGAGCTTTTGACGGCATGTTTCCCAATTTATATGATGTAGCGTTTCTGAGACGCTGCTGGCGTTAACTACCTGTTTGTAGTGAGGCGTGCTGCTCTTCGCTCTACCATTTTACTCTATATATTAGGTTTTTTTATTTACTGATCGACGATCAGAGAATACAAAGCTGACATTCAATCTCTGACACAGAAGTTTCACGACAAACCTAACAACCAGTAGTTCTCAAAACAGCTTTAAACTAGCTATTCAAAAGAAAGAAATATTTTTATTTTGTTACAAGTAGATCTATCCAACAAATTTCAACGTTTTCAAAGTTTAAAAGTAGCGTTAGCTTATAGAATTGTCAATAAAAGCACAATCACAAATTACGCGGATCAATATGATTTTAATCAATGAAAATATTATTTTTAGCGCTGTCGATTACCGAATACTACACAAATACACAACTTCGCTAGTGACCAAACTCCTCACAGTGATTACCTCCCTTGGCAGAATTGTAATGATAAGGGGGCAACAGTCGAGGCAACTTTTTTAAAAATTCTTTTCTAAGTGTCTTTGTTAAGGAAGAAGCCACGATATGCAAGGATAAAGTGTGGCTATCATAAAAAATAAAAATAAATGATTTTTTGATGCAACTCTAGTTATGCAAAATTCCGTATGTATCAAACTCTGGTGCCTTGCAAGATGCATTATAGTACATAAAAATAAACTTATACAGGAAAATACATACAGATTTAGATTGCAAAGATCAGAAAATACCACAGAGCTTGCAGCCCTTTGATTGTGAAAGGGGGTTCCAAACAGTGCAGCAGTAATCTAAGTTAGCTCGAACAAGAGATATGTAAGCGTTGGTTTTAGCTTCACAGCTTGTGTTTCTCAAATTACGTTTTAGGAAGCCTAGCATGGTGTTAGCTGTTTTTGGTGATCTTGTCAATGTGTTGTTTCCAGCCAAGGTCTGATTTTTAGTCCACACCTAAGTACAGTGTATGTTGATGTCTGTTCTTAAGCCAGAGTTATTCCTTTCCGGATATACATGTGTAGTTGGTCCGGAGAGGAGATTTCGCCCTGGTTACTCGCAGGACGCTGCATTTCTGAGGGTGAAAGTCCATGCCCCACAAGTGTTCCAACCTGGCTAAATAATTTAGATCAGCTTGAAGTAGCTGCTGGTCATGGATGGACTTGATCTGGCGATATAGGATGCAGTCGTCTGCAAATAATCAAGTCTTTTAGAGAAGTCCCTCTGGAAGGTCATTTATGAATATGAGGAACATATGCGGTCCTAATACTGAGCTTTGAGAGACGCCGCTAATGACTGGGGCTTCTTCAGATCTATCTATCTATCTACCATATAGTCAAACCTCTGCTGGGGACATACACTTGACGCGCGTCAGCTGACAAGAATGTTAGTAAAAGAGCTGAAATAAAAGAAAAGAAAAGTAATGGAAATGAGTATATTGTTAAAAACAGGTGAAAACAAAATAGGTATTTTAGGGAGACGTATGTTCAATCCGGCTTACAGCCAGACTGAACTCTGGACCAGACAAGTTTATGATATCAGGTGGTAAAGCATTCCAGTGGACTATTGTTCTTGGGAAAAATGAATATTTATAGTAATTAGTTTTAGTTTGGACTTGTTGGAATACATGGAGATGGGATTTCTAGATGATCTTGTAAGAGGGATGATATACTTTGGGAAAGGGATAGCCACCTGGTCATGCAAGATGTTGCGAAACATGACCAGGCGTTGTTCAATACGCCGAGGGTCAAGGTGCCTCCATTGAAGGGAAGTCAACATATCAGTGACCCTTAACATACGGCCGAAGTCATGTTTGACCCACCTATACCAGCCCTTCTCTGGACGGACTATATCTGGGCAATGAGAGTTCCTGTGTAGGGGGGCCAGACCGTGGAGCTGTACTCAATCTGGGGCCTGACAAGTGTCTTGTATGCGGTTGACTTTAACCGTAGAAAACCAAGTGTTTGATTCGCCTTTGTTGTGATGTTGTTTATGTGTTTATTCCACGTTAGATCATTTGATATTGTAATGCCAAGGTATTTTGCAGATGGAACTGTTTCTAATGTGGTGTTATGTAGAATGTGTTGTGTTGGAATGACTGTTTTTCGTTTTGTGATTTGGATAACCTGGCATTTTGATGGATTAAATTGCATGTCCCATTTTGTCTCCCATTGTTCAAGTTGGTGTAAGTCAATGACAATGACAATGACAATTTATTTATTGATATTGGCCACCGGCCCATTACGACAATATATACATTTACATATAATATTGGAAGGTCATTGATGTATATAAGAAATAAGACAGGTCCGAAGCCGAGCCCTGGGGAACACCGGAGGAAACTGGTATGGAGCTGGATGTGGAGCCATTTACCATCACGGACTGTGACCTGTTATCAAGAAAACCTTTGATACATTTAAGAGTTTGACCCCTAATACCGTAGAATTGCAGCTTATACAGAAGTTTTTCATGGTTGACCATATCAAAGGCCTTAGAGAAGTAAAGAAGTCCTGATCGATAACTGGCCTTGGACAAGCACTCTCTTGGTGCGGCCATTTAAGAAGGAAAAGATCCATTGCAGAGTCCTGCCTCGGATACCATAATGATGGGCCTTCTTAGTAAACGATTTGTTGATACGCAACATGCATGAAACGTTATAAACTTATATAATAAATAATATAATACTGCACTAATAATAAAAAACGATCACATAAAATTACGTTAAAATATCTGTACATACCTCATTTGAAAGTCTTAACATTAAATTATGACAGGTAACGAAGCTCAGAAAGTATCATTTCTATAATTTGATTTGAATTGCAAATTGTAAAAAGTATGATCAAGTGGAAAATGATCTGAGCAAATGTTTCTTTTTTTTCTAATTTGGCATATTAAATGATGAATTAAATGTGACATGCATTGAATCTCTTTGTTCAACGAGTTAATAAATTCATTATTGAATCTACACTCATTCTATATCTGACATCATTACATTTATCTATAACATACATGTATATGTATACATGTACAGTACATGTAGTACATCAGTGATCGCGTACATGTATGACATAAGGACAATTTCGAGACTAGAATATGATCCTGAAATGTTTAAATGCTGTAAATCGAAATGAATAAATCATATGATAGGAAAAAAATGAGCAAATACATAATTATGCTTAATTATATCACGGATTTATATTTCAATTTAAGTCTTGAGTGACCGATGTCACAGACGCTTGGGATTTGGAGCTCAAAACGCCTTTAAAATCCAAATAAAATGCATATTTGTCAATCCCAGGACAAGTACTGATCATATATATCAAAAAATCTTAATATATGCCGTTTTGAAAAAAAATCATATTTCAACATCTATAATAATACACAAGATAAAAATGTTCGCCGGAAAAAATCCGCACCCCTACCGTCATAATCACAATGTATTTTAATCCATTCCAATATTTTCACATAATCCTTTGGTCCATCGACACAGAAGATATAATTCTTCACGATGATGGTCAATTTTAAACTTCAACGGTAATATAAACAACGCAACAGCCGAAATAAACATCAATATTCTCGCCGTATTTTTTCAACGACAAAAACTTTCGATAAATTCAATAGACCAGACGGCTATGACTGAAGCTATCCGATTATGTGGTTCCCAAACTTAAAAGCGCTGCGCATTTTGCACACGGCAAAGCTGGGGCCACATAATCGGATAGCTTCGTTCATAGCCGTATGGTCCATTGAATTTATCGAAAGTTTTTGTCGTTGAAAAAATACGGCGAGAATATTGATGTTTATTTCGGCTGTTGCGTTGTTTATATTACCGTTGAAGTTTAAAATTGACCATCATCGTGAAGAATTATATCTTCTGTGTCGATGGACAAAAACATAATGTGAAAATGTTGGAATTGGAATAAAATACATGGGGATTTTGAGGATAGTTGTGCGGATTTTTTTCCGTCAATCATTTTTATCTTGTGTATTATTATAGATGTTGAAATATGATTTTTTTTCAAAACGGCATATATTAAGATTTTTTGATATATATGATCAGTACTTGTCCTGGGATTGACAAATATGCATTTTATTTGGATTTTAAAGGCGTTTTGAGCTCCAAATCCCAAGCGTCTGTGACCGATGTGTATACATGAAGTCCGTGCTTATCTTACAGTACCTAACTGTTCGATTTAAACAAACGAACATATTCCAATATCAAGACTACAATAATAATCAAACAGATCAATGGAAAAGACAAAAGTTATCAAAGCGGCCTGTTTCAAATTCTATTAGTATACAATTGATCAGTAAATGCTTATCGGATTTTGCAAGACTTAAATGGCTAGCACTTCTGAGGTTAGTTTGTTGATTAAGCTACAGTAGTACACCAATATGTGTAAAAACAAAGGGGTACGGCTCATTGAATGTTCACAAAATATGTATTTGATGGTAGAAAACATTTTAAAGATTTATCCTAAGTCAGAAATGAATTTTAAGTCCATTCCCATTACACTATATACTAATATATAGACTATATATTAGTATATAGTGTAATGGGAATGGACTTAAAATTCATTTCTGACTTAGGATAAATGTTTTCTACCATCAAATACATATTTTGTGAACATTCAATGAGCCGTACCCTTTGTGTAAAATTACATAGATCTAGTCTATGAAAAATAAGGTTCAATCACAGGAACTTGAAATTCTATCAATATTAATGATAATATCCAAAATATACCCCCTATACAGTATAGGGGGTTACCGGTATATTAAAACTATATTTTGGATATTATCATTAATATTGATAGAATTTCAAGTTCCTGTCAGTGTGGTTAAATCAACATAATTATAGCTATGTTATTCTGGTTATGCTTCGAAACGGGACTAGATCTAAAACAAAACTTTAATGCCGCATCAGATGAAAAACAAAATAGTAAAAAGCAGCTTATAAAGTTTTGGAAGTCAGAACTAGTTGTTGGGGTTGTGAAGGTAAAGTGATTGGCATTTCTGCAGCTATCCACATAGATGTACAAGTTACATAACTAGAGCTGTTGACATAGAGTAACTCCGGGTAATGTTGACATTGGTGTAATTTCGACACCTTCTTTCATTTTCCTATTATATTAACAATAAAGCACCATTTTCTACTTGATTTAAATCAAACTTACAATGTCAGAACTATATGTGACATCATCACTTGCGTTTGGTATTTTAGGCATTCTTCCTTTTCTAGAAATTTCCGGTCTATGGATGTCATTGCTTGTAATCTTATCCGAAAAAACGGCATTTACAGAATTTTATAAGAAGGGTCGATAACTAAGGCACATAATTGTATCATCATTTCCTATTTTTGTATTGGTTATGATGCAAATAAACCTTAAATATGAATGTTATGAACATTTAACCTTGAGTTTATCTCAATTATATGACACATAACAATTGTAAAGGGGTGTCGAAATTGAACGATAGTTATCTTCTCTGTCGGCCAATTTCGACACATAGTCATAGAAATATTAAAACTTTAAATTCACAACAGTATTAGCTCTAAATGCATTAATAGATAATCCAAAAACATTAATTAAAAAAACAAACAAACAAACATTATGTCACTTTAATTTCAAGTTGCCAAACTGCCGAATGCTATTCATTATTTCAAACACTGTATTGACATTACAAACTCGACTTCATCAAATATGCATTGTAATAACATAAAGATTTAGTATCAACAAGACTTTTGATAAATTGCTGTCTAGTCAGCCCTTTGCAGTCTGCTAACCCTGTTTTTTTCTTCGTACACTGTCATAAACACTGAGTCATCTGCTTGTCCTATGCCGTTTCCTTACCCTGTCTCATCTACTGACAAATGACTACTGACTACTGCCATGAATATCAAATTTCTGCTCGCCCTACGTTGTCTGATAGTCCTACTTTCATAATCACTGAGTCGTCTGCTAGTCCTGTATTGCAAGTCTACTGACATCATCAGAAACAAATTCTGAATTTCCCGCCTATTGCTGACACTCACGACAACTTTTGTCAACGTAGCCAGTGTTCTGGATGCACAAATAATGGATAAAGTGAATGGTGAGTTTTTTGGTGACACTGACAAATGGATTGACCATAAGGCATTTTTTTAAGTACAGGTGAACCAATGAATTTTAAGTTGCCACTTGAGTGAAAAAAATGACACCTCTGTTTGCGAGTTTTGATAATTGATGGTCAATGATTGTGCATATTGGTTAGTATGTACTTAATAGCACAATATGTTTACTTCAAATCATTGCAAAAGCAATGAACAGGTAACGTTCTTATCAATCAAATATATTCGTGCATTCTACTGGAAAGAATTTAATCATGAACCTATTCAGAACTTAAAAGAAACATGATTGTAACTTCGAAAATGATTTTTTTTATTCAGCGTTTTTTTTCTCTACTTTGGGAATGGTGCCGGTACCAGACTGATTGGGAAAAATTGCACAATTTTGACTTACATTGGGAAAAAAAAATTATGCATTTTTTCAGCTACAAATAAGATTAATCATCATGAATAAAGATAGCCATCAGCTTCCAATCTCCAGGTAGAACTATTGAGTGTTGATTTATATATATGAATATGTTGGATTTAAATGATTTCAGAGAAATCACTTGGCCTTGTGGGAATTTTGAACAGCCATTTTGAGAATTTAAACATTGGAAATTGGGAATTTTACTGTCTATTTTCTATTGGGAACAATACCGTTTTAGGGTAGTAGTTATATAAAGAAAAAAAAATACTGTTATTTATTATATTTGAACATTATGTCCTCAAAATTCTTTCATTAGTTGAATGTGATTTTAAATAGTGTCTTATAACAAAAAATTGCAATTAAATTTAATGATTAAATCTTTATCTTATTAGACAGTAAAACAAATAAATGTTTCATGTACAGTCCTTTCATTTTTTAAAAAGCAAATTGGAGTATGTCTGAATTAGACGAAACATGTCGAAATTACACAACAATCTATGTTCGTAAGAGAGATATTGCAAATCAAACAAGACATTCTTGTTTGTTAACATAATCAAGAAGTATTCCAAAAAGGTTAGTTTCACCTTAGGGTTAAAATGGGATCTTGTAATATCGACACTTAGACTTTTTTGAGCAAAATTCTCTTAAAGTGTCGATTCTGTGCAAAGCATATTGACGATACATTAATAACGGTTGACAAACATCGGCATTACAGCGATATTCATGTATCAATAAGTACTCTTTATACACTTGTTACTATATATAGTAACACAATTGCCTATGATTCAACTGATAATGAGTGTCATGTGACTGATTATTAGTTTGCAGCCCGGGGCCGATAACTGATAATCATAATGGGCCTACAGAACACAAGTACATGCGCAAACTGAAACAATGACAATGACGTCACATTTTACCTTATCAAAACAGGTCGCTGTAAAGTGAAAGTAGGTTATAAAGCTAAGCTCAAATCGCTTGATAACATTATTTGTATGAACTTTGCTTTACTGAAATTTAAAGAATCAAAATACAGCAATTTCAGTAAAAGAAAATAAAACAATTGCTATATGCACAAGGGAAGCAACTCTGTAGAAGTCTGGAAAATATCAATGTAATTAAAAAAAAAATTATAACAGATCTATCAAATGTATTGATAAATGAATAATGGACCCGAGGGCTTCAGTGCAAAGCATATTGATGATACATTGATATCGGTTGACAATTATCCAAGAAACACCGATATATATGTATATGTATCGATAAATACTCTTATTTTCATGTATATAAAACTTTTTTCATACCCGTTTAATTGATTTTAGTAAAACAAATGTTCTGTTCATGCAAATATGTTCTGTCCTGTCTTTAAAGTACCTTTGCATGATTTTTGTGTCATCACTGTTATGAAATGTATCCATTATGAAATGTTAGACATGGCCACCTGCTTTTGTATATGTTTTTAGTGAATTTTCATAATTTATAGATATTTGAATAATTAATCAAAATTATCAATTTTTCAAATGCGTATCGCTTATTGATTGACAGAAAAATATCAAGGTTACATCAATATTGTCTCTATACATTTGTAATGCCGAATAATTTTCTTGCTATATGTGTGTGTAGCCGAAAATGTTCGTGTTATAAAATTATCTGGACGAGGAGGAAGCGCGACACTGTGAGCTTGAGGCAGTAGTATTTGAATTACTGTAAATTAGCTGGTTTTATTCTGGAATTATCCAATAAACACTATTTTACAGTTGAACATAGTTTATTAAAGTAAGAAGTCATCTGATTACATTAATATAACATATCTAGTCAAATAAACATTTTTTTTTTATAAAAATGGGGAAAAATTAGCTTAAATTTATGGTAAAGACAAAAGTATATTACTCGCTTTCTGTGTGAAAGGACGCCAAATAATTAATATGGTCAAAAATTTACTTCACAAAAATAATGACAAAAATGTAAAACTTCTCAAAATCTAGCAGTTTACTTAGATTACTATATATATATTTCTTAATTGAATAAGAATTCTTCTTTATTTCATAAGTTATTTACAAATGCCTTTTTTTATGAAAAATCAGTATTGTAGAATGAATATTATGAGTAAATGCTTAAAGACAGTAAGTACAGTTATAAAGTATTTGATAATGAAAATTGGAAATACAAATATTGATGAAAACAAAGTATAATATTTATATAATATTAAAACAACGTGAACTTAATAAAGAACATGAAATAACATACATATTTACATGTACAGTACATAGATATGAACATAACATAACTATTTTTTAAAACAATATTTTTTTATATAATAAATGTAGAAAGTCACATACCTGGAATTATCCAATAAACACTATTTAACAATTGAACATAGTTTATTAAAGTAAGAAGTCATCTGAACCTAAAAAGGGGTTCCTTGGCTTTTATTAGCCACAGACTTCTAAGGTTACAGATTGCATTGAAAAAGAGAACCTACTCTAGGAAATTACTTAATCAGTTTTCTATTTGAAACTGTGAAAAAATAATTAAAAGATTTTGGTTAAACCAACAGCTAAAATGGTTTTAGCTTGGGGTCTGATTAACAGCTGATTAGTAAACAAACATTGAAAAATTTACAATAGACTTCCAGGATATGTAGTTGTAAGTAAGTAGGTTTTGACATCTACATTTTGTAGAGTATTTTGAAGCTTTATTTCAATGGCAATCTGTTATAACACCTATATTTTAATCCCAAGTATGTGTTTATTATAAGAAAAGTTTGGAAGAAAAAAGTAAAGTTATGTAACAATAGAGTACTTTCAAAGAATTCAATAAACAATATTTTAGTATATTTGTAAAAACAAATACTTGGAAATTCCCTGAAAAAGATTTTGCATGCAAATATGGGGCATAACACATAACTGCTAGAGAGGTGTAGGCACTAGGCATGAGAGGGATAGTATACAGTAGTATTAAACAAGTAGATTTATTTCTAAAAAATTCTTCATGTACCATATGATACTGTATTATAGTTATATAATACTTATATTTCAAGGGACAATTGCCACCTGTAGTGACACCCTGGCCAGTGATAATTCATCATTCTATGCTAAAAACAGAGTATGAAACAATTTTCAGACAAAAACAACTGAAAGTAAGAGGTTTGTAACTATTTTACAATTTTAGTCATCAAAATTCTTTATACCTGTACTGATTGTTTAAAGCATTTAGTCATTTTGTAAAGACTTAAGTTATATTCATTCTTTAATACTTAATTTTCATACAAAAAGGCATTTGTATTTGAAATGTTACTTTATAACTGTTCTAATTGTTTAAAGCATTTAGTCATTTTATTAAGACTATATTCTTATTTGTGCTATGATAAGAAGAGCACATAACCAATGAAAGAACCGCTTTTGTTTAATTCAATTCACAGTATCCAGTTGTTTACCATCGTGTTTATATATTAATTACCACGCTTTGCATAAAGGCGAGTTAAGTTCGGCCCAGACTGGGCCGGCCGGGCCGTTGAAGACGGCCTTGTATTAACTCACATGGCTAAATGTCTTGCTTTTATTGCAAATAAGGAATAAACGTATCTCAAGATGTCTAAAATACGAGTTTTTCAAAACGCATCTGCAGTCATTCAACTTTGAAACAGTTATGTTGATTATTTACAGTCATCATTTAAACTCGACTCGTCTCATAAAACATTGCTCATTATTATATTGCTCTCTTCAGTTTGTGCAGAAAAATGCTTTTTTTCACATTAGTTGCACAATTTGCAGATGCTAAACATTAAACAGACAGACAGATATCTTTATTCACTCAAGCACATTTGTACAATATGAGGATTTTCTAATATAACAAATATATAATACATTATATTATTTATAATTTAGTTTTCCAGCAGTAAACATACATAATTTTGCACAATATATTTTTTTTTTTTTTTTCTTATAATTTAAACAATATGGTGAATTATTAGTGTTTTCTGCGGGGGGGGGGGGGGGGGGGGGGATTCGGATATCGGATATTCTTAATTCTAGATAAATTAACAGTTCATCTTGATAAGAAAAACAAGAAATAATAATAAAAACAAAAGCAAAAACACACAAATATAAAAGAATGTACTAAGAGATTCAATCAAGTTATAACAAATTTCCATTAAATAAAACTATGTCAGTAGACACTTACTTAGTTTATGACACCTTAGGTTATGTAATCAGAAATCATCTAACCTAAACTGATGTAATACTTATTACCTTGCTGTCTTTAAATTGTGACATTTCTAAATATAGTGTAAAATTTGATTTTTTTTTTTGTAATCTGTTCTAGATATGTGACATGTTTATCAATATACTAATGTTTAAGTCTTATTAAATGTCTGTTCATGAAATGTTTATATCAGTAATGAATTTTTCTATCAGAAAAATAATTGTTTCTTACGTATACTTATGTATAGGGACTCGCCTGAGTTTTTTGTGACATGATTGGACTGTAAATAATTTTTGGAGATTAATGTGCCATTTGATGTATAGGTCTAGACCAATAACTTTTGTGCAAAACTTCAGATCATTCTCTTACTTTGTTCCTTCAGAAAAATTATTTTCTTTGTGCAAAAGTGCCAGAAAAGTGTTCTAATGCATTTCACTCAAACTGAGCTAAAATAAAAAAAATCAATTTTCTTATTCAACTCTGATCATTATAATTTATATTTTGCAGATTTTCTCATTTTTTAGCTTATCACTCGATATATATGCAATAATTTGAAATTTTATTTTTAAAGTGGTTCTAGGTTAAATATGTTATTTTTAGATAAATTTATATATATAATTGTCAAATAAAAAAAAATAAGGTTGAAATTTGCCAGAGATAAAATACATAAACAATAAGGAAACCCCTCGATAACTCTTTAATCTACTGGTACGCTCTCTATATTTAAATCAGAAAAGCTTATGATTCGTTTCCCAATCCTCAATTTTTTTAAATAAACGTCTCTGGCGCATAATAAAAGCTTCCAGGATGCTGTTTTGAAGAAGGCTTAACAGTGATATGAAGAACTTTTCCATGATAAAATTACTGAAATACTTAGTTTGAAACAACATAAAATTGTTTGGGTTTTTTTTTCAACAGAAAATAAAACCTGATGGTAGCTTTAAGTTTTTTTTACCTCAGTCCACTTCCTTTAGAAAATCTAAATATAGAACATGGTTGTTGTTACAATTATGTTTTAATGATTTGTATTTATATATTGCCAGTATCAAATGGTGTAATACCAGGCTCAGTGGTCTTCCCATTGTCATCTGTAGCATTTCTGATAGTTCCAGTGTCAAGGGCAACAACTCTGGATCCAGAAAATAACATCCAGCTTTCACAGGAATTGATTGAAAGGTTTTTGTTTTCTTTAAAGCAGCATTCTTCCAGATAAGTCAAATTTAAAGAAAATCAAAGTTGATAGAAATGTACTTAGATTATAAGAAAAGTAAAAAGATTCAAGATTCAAAAAATAATTTACATGTTATGTGTAATTTATGACTGATTCTGAAGTATTGATTATCACCATATTTCTACAGCATGACAAAATTAACATGTGCTATTTTTGCATATACACATATATAGACGACAGTTTGATAATGTAAGTGAATTGTCTGTGCTGTTTGCAATGTGTAAACTACTTTTTTTGCTCACTTCACAATAATTTTCTTTTAAATACATTTTTCAAAATTTCTATGATTATTAGTACAACTCTGGAGGCATGCTGCTTTAACAGTTTCATTGTTTATTTATTTTCTGCTAGGAACCTTTACCAGCTAGAACAGAAATTGAATAGCCTTTTGTGCTGTCTGAACATGTGCATGCTTTAAACTGTTTATAGCTCGATTTTTTTTTAAATTTCCTGGACTGCTTTAAATTCAAAATGGTCCGAAAATCAATCACCAAAGTTCAGTAGGATAAGAGTATAATGATTAAATTACATTATTTAAAGATGTATTTTAACTTAAATTGTCAGTTTTGAATTAACTCCCCTGGTTAAAAAGAGAGTGCTATTTTGCATTGGTTCGTTTTTATGATATGTTTAAGATCATGTAGTGACATTTCAGCATTACTGGTGGAGCATCTGATGTGCCCATATGAGCTGCATCACGACAAAACCAACATAATGGGTTTGCGACCAGCATGGATCCAGACCAGCCTGCGCATCCGCGCAGTCTGATCAGGATCCATGCTGTTTGCTTACCAACCCTATTACATATAGAGAAACTGATAGCGAACAGCATGGATCCTGATCAGCCTTCACGAATGAGCAGGCTGGTCTGGATCCATGCTGGTTGCAAACACACTATGTTGGTTTTGTTATGACGCGGCTCAATTATGAGCATTATTTGAGGCACAAGCTGGCACCTATTTATATTCACTGAACTCCGTAAATTAGCTGAATAACTGTCACATGAAAGAATCCAAGACCCCAAAAGGATTTGGAAAGGAAACAATTACCGCTCAACCAATAAGGCCACTTCTGAGTACTGTTGTATATGCCATTACCCTATAACTAGGCCCATGGTCTTTAGGATGACAGTATGATATCTTATATCCATTAGACCAACACACAATAAAATTTTATACAAGTTGATCCAGTAAAAGAAAATATTCAAGATCTGAGTTGCTGTTCTCAAATATATATACATACTTGTATATCTAAATGGAAGAAGCATACATGTACATGAAACATTGGAATGTAAGATATGTACATGTATACTGAAATGAAACAAGAGCAATCAGTGATCACATGTGTCGCCTCATGATGGCCAATTTCATGTTGGGACAAGTTTTGTGACAGACGGACAGACAGACGGACAGTGCACAACTAGAATTGGTACTGATCATTCCTGTACAGTTTGGATTAAAATTGCAACCAGAAGTTTATGAGGAGTAAGTCCCGGACAAGTTTTTTTGTGTATCTGGCAACCCACACAGAAAAAAACACCTGTTTTATCAAAGGCCATAACTCAGCCAAACATCATTCAACCGGAAAACCCCTGCAAAATATGCGCAAGGACTTGAGCTACAGATCAATCCTATAAAGTTTCATTGAAATTGCATTAGTGGTATAAGAAAAGTAGTCCGGACAAACTTTAAAAAATAGAAATTATTAAAGGGCCATAACTCTGACAAAAATCATTGAACCAAAAAATGCTGACAATATGCACAACTAAAATTGGTACTGATCATTCCTGTAAAGTTTGGATGAAATTTGCACCAGTAAATTTATGAGGAGTAGTCCGGACAAGCTTTTTTGTGTCTGGCAAAAAACACAGAAAAAAGCACCTTTTTTTATCAAAAGGGCCATAACTCGGCCAAAAAGTCATTCAAACCGGAAAAAACCCGTGCAATATGAGCAAAGGACTTGAAGCTAACAGATCAAATCCTGTTAAAAAGTTTCATTGAAATTGTAATTGTGGTACAAGTGAAGTAGTCCGGACAAACTTAGAAAATAAAAAATTATTAAGGGCCATAACTCTGGACAAAAAAATCATTGAACCGGAAAATGCTGCAATGTGCACAACTGGAACTTGGTACTGATCCATTCCTGTAAAAGTTTGGATGAAATTGCACCAGTTAGTTTATGAGGAGTAGTCCGGACAAGTTTTGTGACGGACAGACAGACGGACAGACAGACGACGGAGAAGTGATCCCTATATGTCGCCACTACTCTGTAGAGGTGACACAAAAAAGCATATGAGTATTAATTCAAATGGAAAATACATATACATTTTAATGGAAAAAGCATACACATACATGCATTTTTGGAAAAAGCATATATGTAGATACAGGTACAGAAGCATACATGTATATTTATATAGAAGATACATGTACATGTATACATGTATTTTAATGGAAGATACATATATAACCTATATTTTAATGAACAATACAAAATGGTATATTTAAATGGTATATTTTAATATGGAAAATACATACATGTGCATACATATTTGTAATTTTGATGGAGGATACATATGTATATTATGATAGAAGATGAATATTTTAATGCAAATAGTGTTGTAATATCATCCCTTCTGTGCAAGGGGCATTGGTTTTATGAGAGTTTTATAAAGAGGGTTTGTTACAGTTTCATCTTCTTATTTCAGAGTAGATAATTTCCTCAAAGTTCATAAGAATTGCTACATGTTATGTCAAGCACCTCTCCATGGACAAAATGAAAAGCAAGTTTTTGCAATGATACAAAGAATGTAAGTTAACATTGATTTGATCATTTCTAGTTATAAAAATAGTAAATAACCAAAAGTTTATTAAATCCCCTTCTCCAGCTTTTAATATTCCTTTGCACTAAAGGTTACTGCTTCATACCATATATACATTGTATACAACGTACATGTATGTAATATAGAGTATTATCACACCTTAAGAATAACAAGCAATGAACTTTCAGTGTTTACACAGTGTGGTCCTATTAAAATCATTATTCGACACAATCTTATCAATTAAGCATCATTTTCATTTCCAGAGTCCCAAATGTCCATATCAAATGCATATCATATCCAATAAAGCCTTGTTTTTATTTTAAGAATCCAAAAATCCTTATTTGTCAGATCTTTAACAATTTAAATGCCAAAAATGGTGGTGTGAAATAAAGTAGTCACTATGCAGTCATTGTACCATGATGTGTTGCTCCAATAAAAATCATTATTGGATTCAATTTTACCAATTAAGCCTTGTTTTAGTTTCCAAAGTCCAACAAATCCATATCAGATGCATATGTATATTGTTACCCTTTTAGCCTTGACTGCATTTTCAGAATTAATAAAATTCTCTATTAAATACATGTCACACTCCATTCTGTTCTTGTTTTCATTGAGTCCAAAATTCTGTATCAAATTCTTATTGCACTTGAAGTAAGAAAGTTGTGTAAAATATCAAAAATGGTTGTGTGAAATAAAGGAAGTGATACATTGTTGAGAACAATACTGATTCAACTGGACTGGTACAGAGCTGAAAAACTGTTATCAGACTTGACTAGCATTTCATCTGAAATAAGTTCGACAGCAATACATTGTATGTACTTATCCAACAGAATTCAGTATTGCTCTTGACTATGTTAAACTTACTTCATATCATAGTGTAGGTAGGTGGTAGGCAGGCAGACAACCAAAAACTAGCAAATTCAGTTCCATCAGTGTTTTTTAAAAATGTTGGTTTATATATGCCATATAATTGTTTACTGTGTGTTTATAGGGCATAAAAAATACATCCTATGATTCCTGTTGTTGACCTATATCATGCGTATAGTGACCTATAGTGGAACTATCAACTAAATCATTAAAATGTTCCGTTTACATATTACAGGTATTTGAATACAAGACTGAACATGATACCTGTGCACAATGCAATGGAAGGAGTCAAGACAATGTTCACAATAGCAAAGGTATATTTAACTTTATCTTGAATAATAGTGCATGATAATTTGTTACACTTAAACTTTGAACAATACTCAGCCGAATAAGTATAAAGAGGGATAACTTGGTGCTTGGGCTGTCAGACATAATAAAATAATGTATTGCCTCTCATGCTCTCAGTTCCTTATCTTGCAGAAAAAAAGTGATTAGCCTTTGCCACCAGTATAAAGCAAAGCCAATATTAATTTTTTGTCTGGTTTCCATAAAAGTAATAAAGGACTGTTCCAAAATGAGGCTGGTTCAGTCCATTTGTTAAAGTGACATTATGCTCATTTTTTCATTGTTAAATGGAGCTGAGAATATTTTTCAAAAGATTGACTGTATAATAGTGATTAACTGACAGTTGCTATTGAAAATGTTGAGGATAAAATATAAATCTGCCTAAAACATGAAATTGGCTGTCTCACACTTTTTATTGAATGCCACTAGGTATTTTCCTATGGAAATTTATAGAAATGACAATGGGCCATGTTAATTTTTTACCGCTCTTAGAATTGAAAGGAATTATGGCAAAATGTAAACTTATTTTGACTTTCACCAGTTCATTTACTCTATACTCTTGGATGGGCATAATGTCACTTCCCATTTCTATCCTTAAGCCTTGCTCTTCTGGGATTAGGGGGCAGGGGACCTAAAAATTAGCAATTTTTAGTTCCGTGAGGCCGTTAAACACATTACCAAATATTTTTTGATTTTATAAACATGTGAAAAACTTACTGCTTGGCAGTATTCAAGGATATATGACAAACATTGAAAAAAATAACTATCTGCATCCATTACTCCATATAGTACAATCTGAGAGCAAATAATATTACCCCCCACCCATCCAAAATCAGGCTGAAAATATAGGAATATGCCCAATCTTCATGAAGACGCATAACACTTAAGAATCCGCCTAATGTCTTTAATTATAGAAATTTTCTATAGTAAAATGATCATAAAGTATGAAAATGCTAAACAAAGTGTCTGTCATACGTTTAGATTTTTTGCAAAATTTTATCAAAGTTTCTTACTCGTTCTGTAGCAGATGACAATCTGAAAATTTACAGTTTTTCAGCCTCCTTTTGAAGAGTCAAAAATGCATACAAAGCTACCAAAGGCTAAAGTTTCGCACACAAACATATAAAATTTAGCTCATTTCCTACATACAAATTACAAAGAATTACATCAACAAAGAAATATAAACAATTTTCAACACCTTCAAAACACCATGTCTGTATTATCAATAAATTTCACCGGGGCCAAAGTACGAATATGTCCCCTGCCCCCTTATGTACGGGATAATATATGTTTAAAATACCAGCTAAGTAGGCTTATCATAAAAAGTCATTTATGCTTAAATCTCATAGCTGATTGGAGGAAATGTTTGAAAATTTTAAAGCATATTCAAGATTAAATCAGAAATTTTAAATGGTCTTGTCTTTTGTGAAAAAGGCGTTTTAACTGTAGTGTCTAATATAAACAGAAAATTTCTTTGCTTTCAAACCCGTGTTAAGGTCCACATGGTGATTATAACACCAAATAATATTAATATCTGTCAATAAGTGTGACTTTACATTCACTAAACTGCTCTGTATTGACAAGGCTACATTGTATTTGATAAAATGGCAAAACTTATACTGCTCTCTTTTTTTTCAGGGGCTATGTAAGCCAGTTAGTGATATATTAAATGAAAGATTGGAGCAAGTTGTGAAAGAGCAGAAGAAAAGTGACTTCATGACTGCAGCATTAAAACAACTTGGCTTGACAAATCATGATATCCTTAACTGCTATGAGACCTCTAAGCTAAGGGGGTAAGGTGACTGACTTGTATGATTGTCCCTCACTGCTGTGGGTTTGAAACTCGGAGAACTTTGTTTGCGCTAACTAGCATATAAAATTTTGCCAAATTCATATATCATTTACTGTATGAAATAGCTTTAGAGCCAGGGTCGTCCGTTGTCAAGTGGTTAAGGCTGGTGGCTTCAAACCATTTGCCCCTCACTGCTGTGGGTTCGAATCCTTACCTTGAATTCTTTCATGTGAGGAAGCCATTATGACCTATACTGTGTTGGTCCACCGTAAAACCCAACAAAAAAAAAACTTTTGTAATAGTTATTATTTTTATTTAACCATTTTGCATCTTATTTTTTTATGTATATAAATTCTGAAAAGTTTTAATATACGCCTCTTCTGTTAAGCTATGCATAGCAATGTTGCCCCCAGTCTGCATACCATGAGAGGGAAAAGTAGGACTTTGGGGCAATATAATTTTTTTGAATGCATGTTTTACAAAAAAAAAATACATGTAACTGTAAAACAGGTTAAAAGTCATTTAATCAAATTAAAACAATTATTAGTAAACTATTCTGTTTAAGTAAAAAAGTATTGTAGTTTGTATTCATAAAAAAATGCATTTGGTAGGACAAAATAACATCTTAAAAATCTTTAAAATATATCTATTAACTTTTTCAATTGATATGCAGCAAATTTTTGTGAAAATAAAAAAGCTTGTGTAAAATTAAGGTTTATGTCAAAACCAACATAATGGGTTTGCGACCAGCATGGATCCAGACCAGCCTGCGCATCCGCGCAGTCTGATCAGGATCCATGCTGTTCGCTTACCAACCATATTACAAGTAGAGAAACTGATAGCGAACAGCATGGATCCTGATCAGACTGCGCGTATGCGCAGGCTGGTCTGGATCCATGCTGGTCACAAACCCATTATGTTGGTTTTGTCGTGACGCGGCTCAAATTAAGGTTTATGAATTCCTTAACCTTATGAATAGTGTCAAGTGATTGAAGATAGTCTAGGCAGTCTGAGAAATCTTGCAACAGCTTCTAGAGAAGATCTCCTCAACTGTAGTCTAGATTCCAACACTGTGGATAAATTACTGCAATTCTTTAATTAATATTGATGATCCCTAATCAGATATACGAAATAAAGAAGTGAAGTGAAGTGAGAACTGAGTTAAAGTATTAATTTCAAAAAAAAAAATTCTGTTGAGTGAGGACTATTTGTCAATTTTTGTGTGACCTGCTACAGTGTAGCGCCAAGATATAGGGATCACTTCTTAATAGTCTGCCCATCTGTCTGGACTTATTCAGACAACTCCTAAAAAACAGCACTAAAAACCTACGAAAACTTTCAAAAATAGGTCAAAATATATAAAAATAGCCCGTACTGCGTTTATAATAAATAGTAGGTGATAACTAGTGCAAAATCAGTCATTAAACGCATGTAACATGTAAATTATGACTTGAATATTTTTACCTCTCTTTTCTCAAGTGTGACTTTGTTGAAATATTTTAGTTCATATGGAGGCATGCAGCTTAAAAATGTGTCAGAGAGACTATTCGTTTTTTGAAGCTCAAGACAATCAATTTGTTAGAAGAACAAAAATATTTTACCTATAATCTTTGGTTTGGCAAGTAGATTGTTAGAAATTCAGGAAAGTAGGTTGCTTATAATTTACTGAATGTACATGCCACAATGTCCCAGACATCCGGGAAATTAGATGTCTGTCCTGGAGATGTCCCGGGGAACAATTTTATCCCAAAGAAAAATGATCACGATATGCTGCGCAAGACTTATATAAGAATAAGTTAAACCATTATTCTGAGTATATATTTTTATTTCAACAATTGATATATCAAAACTACATGTATAATTCTGTTTAGATAAATGTAAAATACTAAAAATCCTAAATATCTAGACTATGTATAATTAAACATCACAGGGATACTTTTGGACATACTCATATTGTTCAACACTTTGTCTTTATGTTTCATTTACTTTTCATGATCAATTGTAAAAGAAAACACTACATTGTATTTCAGTGACTTGGAAAAAAAAAATATTCGAACTGATATTTTACAGCTAAGCTTTAGAGGAACACAACTGAGGTCCAAAAGCATAAAATACAAAAATTTAGAAATGATGCACTGATAAACCAGGAAAAATGTGAACAAGATATAAAAGAAATATATTCAGAAATGAATTGAAAATTGTTATTTAGTATGATTCTAAGCTGTATTTTAAATAAAGTGCTTCAGCACTTTTTCATTTTTATGTGATTTTGCAACATAAAAATAACTCTGAAAAAACAAGAGTCAGCCACCGATCAGAAATTTTGTACACAAAATATTGTTATAGACCTATCTCAATATTGAAATGGTATAAAAATTTCAAAAAACATATTTCCAGTCTTGTCATGTCAAAAAGCCACTGTTGAGCTCCTTTAACAAGTTTAACACTTAATGTATCATCCCTGCCTTCAACATACAGATCACAGTTTAGCTTCATTAAAAATTTAATTCATTGCTTAACAAAATTCTAAAGTATATCAATTTAACAAACAAGGCATACAATAAGTTAACACTCTAAAATATATCAATATAACAAACAAGGCATACAATAAGTTAACACTGTAAAACATTCAAGGTCAAAAACATACATTTTCACATCCAAGGATTTCAGAGCCTTATGAACATTGTAATACCACTAAATTTGTACTATTTTATTTATTTTTTTTTTTTTTTAATAATGACATCATAGTGAAGAACACTGGTCACTCTCTCATTTTACAAAAATCTTCTACCGGTTAAAGTAGGTAATACAAAAAACTGTCAGATGAATGTGACATTAACCCCAAATTAGAAGCTGCCAGATATACAAATTCATTAGAGTTTGTAATCCTTAATAAATAAATAAATAATTGCTGATGCAAGCTAAACATACAAACATAGCTTTTAGACATAATAGAACAAAAAATACCCCTTTAAAGAAATGTTCATAAAACAGTAAAATACAGAAAACAATTTAAATAATACTATTTTTGTAAATGAGCATAACAATTAAATATTTAACCCTCTTAATTTCTGACTAAATAATTATTCAGTCTGACTAAAAAAGTTATTTAGTCTGATTATGAAAAAAAATTGTTTGGCATCCTGACAAAAATAATTCTCGGTCTAAAGGTAGATTTTCGTCAAGAAATGAAAATTGGGTCTCCAACTCGGATCATTGGTTGAGTAGCACTGAAGCACCCTCGTAGATGTATACCAAATGGTACCTGAAAATAAAAAACAAGAGGGTCATGATGGCCCTGGGTTGCTCATCTGAGATTTATTGAAGGGAAAGGTCACAATTCTTCAACACAGAAAATGAAAAGAAAAATATTCTTTCAACATTAAACCCTGTAATTATGTCAATGGCTATTAGAATCTAAACCTATACCATGACATATAGGGCCAGACTGATTAGCAGATCCACTCAAATGTGGATGTAGATCCTAAATGATAAAATAAAGTGTCTTGATTTAAACCACCAACATTGTTATTTTAGCTTGAAGTAAATTCAATAAAGTTTGTCTTGTGATAAAAAGTGAAAAACATGTTGTTTTTTTCCCCAATTTATTCTTTAGTTCTCTGCCCTTGAAATGACATTAAATACAGGAAAGCTAAAATATTACATTCAAGGACAATTAAATATCTTGATATAAAACAATATAAAATGGATTGTAAAACAAAAAGATGATGGCCTAAAAACCAATTGCTTTATTACGAGACTCTTATCTTACTAGCCTTTGCCACCTCTTTAAAGACATACATGCCATAATGTCCCGGATGTCAGGGACTGTCGAAAAATCCTGAGGCGTCCTGGAGATAATTTATGTCCTCGTTAGGAATAAAAATCAGACATAATATATTTTTGTGCAATAATATTGTCAAAGTAATTATTATAAAAAGCTGATAACGGAACAAATATCCCAAGACAGAATCGCACTTAAAGACCACCCTGTAATCCATCCAGGCTCAATTTTTGATATTTAAAGTTCCATAGTCAAAGCATAGCAAATCAGTCATACAAATTCAGCAGGTACCCGTACCATAAGGGTTAAAAGTAAAGTAAAGTTATTAACCTTTGTTCCTCTCCAAACAGCGAGTGTTTTCAATGGTTCTTTACTTTTCTCGCCCGTCTGCTGATCTAAACATACCATCTGGCATCTTGTACATGTACCCTGACTCTAAATTCATAATATCAAAATTGCTGTTTAAAATTTATAGAATTATTAACTAGTTCTATTAGATATTTTTTTGGAATTCATTAAACTTTATGTGCTTTATTTAAAACAGATTTTATAGTTGGATAAGAGCTAGAAAGTTGATATATCAGACAGATATTATTCACTGATTCAACTGGATCTGATAAGAGAGAGTGTTCTTTGCCGTCTTTTCATTTGTCATTGACTTCAAACCACTTGCCCCATATGATATGGGTTCAAATCCTGCCAGGGACATCAGATCTTTTCATGAGAGGAAGCTATCCAGCTAGCTTGCTAAACATCAGTGATTCTACTCAGGTGCCCATTTGTGTCTGAATTAATGCCTGGAGGGGCATCTTAGGCCTTTCTTCACCAGTAAAGCTGGAAAGATGCTTAAATGACCTCTACTGTGTTGTAAATTTAAAACCAATCAGATAAGGGGAACAACTCTGTATAGTAATTTGTCAACTTCATAACTTTTTTTGTCTTGTCATTTTCACAACACTGGCTGGTCATTAGTCTTGATAAGACTGATTATTCCAGCTTATCACTAGAAAACTGAACTTATTTTCGGTAAACTAGTAAGTAAGTAAGTAAGTAACGACTTTATTTTATGAGGCTAACACATTCAGTTTCCCGATCTTCCATGCGGGCCTCAGTATATACAACACAACATAAAATACAATCAACATTTAGACAACATAAATATGTACATTAAACATCATACCAATACAATAAATAAGTAAACAATTTTTTCTTCTTACATAGAGAAGTGACATTTTCATAACTTCAGCATGGAAAGTATATGTTTTTGAAACAATATGTACAAACAATTAGTTACAAAATTGCCACTGGATATAGGAGGATTGAAATTTCCTCAGGGTATAAGAATTTCGAATATGGATTGGTATGCTGTTCCATACCACAGGACCAGAGTAATTAAATGATTTTCTAAAAAATTCTGTTTTTGGTTTGGGTACAGTTAGTTTTTCATTTTGTATAGATCTTAAGTTAAAGTCATGTTTGTCATTTATTGTTTGGAATTTATTTTTCATATAAATAGGAAAGGATGGTTCATTTATAGATTTATACATGAGGATTGTCTTTTTGTACATAATTCTTTGATCAAAGGACATCCAATTTAATTCTTTAAATAGAATATATGATGGGGTATCAAAACTTTTGTCTAAAATAATTCTTGCAGCTCTTTTTTGAAAGTTCACAATTTGCGAAAGTAATTCACTACTGCAGTTTCCCCAAATAGTGCAACAGTAGTCAATATGTGGCAAAATATAAGCATTAAAAAAGAGTTTTCTGGAGTGGAGATCAAGGTACTGTTTGATTCTAAGAAGCAAATAGAGCTGTGAATTGCATTTTTTAATAATATTTTGAATTTGTGTTTTCCATTTAAGATTTTTGTCAACCTGGACCCCTAGCAGTTTTTCAGTGTCTGTAAATTCTATCTCTTTGTTTTGAAGGTGCAGAGTAGATGAAGCAGTATTTTTTTATTTAGTATTTTTTAAAGAGAAATTTATGGCCTTAGTTTTTTGTGCATTTAATATCATTGCATTTTGCCTACACCATGTGCTAACACTATCAAGATCAGTTTGAAGATTATAATTCATTTCCGTTAAAGTACTTCCAGTAGAAGTAAGGGAAGTGTCGTCTGCAAACATATCGGTAGTTGACTGTTTAACATGAAGATGGATGTCATTTATGTATATCAAAAATAGTAGGGGCCCAAGGACTGAGCCCTGAGGCACTCCTGAGACAACTTCAGCTGGTTCAGATAAAACACCAGACACATTGACTTTTTGTGACCTGTCTGATAGATAAGATCTTATCCAATCTATAGTATGTGAAGAGAAATTATAGAAAGGTAGTATTTCTAGAAGAATTTGGTGGTTTACTAAATCAAAGGCTTTTGATAAGTCTAGAAAAACAGTTCCGACAAGTTTGCCATCATTCAGAGCACTGATCCAATTATCAATTATATTTGTAAGAGCTGTCTCACATGAATGATGTGCCCTGAAACCTGATTGAGCAGTGTAAAGTAAAATGGTTTTGTTTCTAAAATAGAGCTTTAAGTGGTCTGATACATGTTTTTCAATTATTTTAGAGATAAGGGGAAGTACTGAAATTGGTCTGTAATTATTTTTGTCTCCCTTTGGTCCTTTTTTGTAAATTGGTGTTACCTTTGACTGTTTTAGCTGAGTTGGAAATTTTCCACTTTTTATGCTTAGATTTATAATACTACATAGAGGTTTACTTATGACATCAGCTGCTGTTTTTAGGAATTTTGCACCAATACCATCTAGGCCTGTTGCTTTTGTGGCGTCTAGACTATTGAGTTTCTGATTTACATAGCTTAAGTCAACAAAGGGTATTTCATATTTATTTGACTGATTTGAAATTTTGGATTTAACCGATTCTTGTAGAGCAGTTTTCAATTCATATGATAATCCTTCTGATACATTTTCAGCTTTTTCAAATACACTTGCAAAGAAAGTATTAAAGGTTTCTGCTGTTAATTTTGGATCAGTTATTGGTAAACCATTCTCATCATTTATGTAAGAATTTTGTTGAACATTTGTTTTGCCTGATAGGTTTTTCAAGTTTTTTCAAAGTTTTTTAGGATTTTTCTTATTTGAGTTTATTTCATAATGAAAGAAATCTTTTTTTGCTGTATGAATAAGTTTTTTCACTTTTAATTTCCAATATTTGAAGTTATCAACATTATTTTTCTTTTTTGCATAGTCCCTGTTATGTATTGCATTAGCTATATCCTCATTGAACCAATCAGCTTGGTTTTTATGCTTAACTCATTTTTGTTTGTATGGAGCATGTATATTGAGAGTTTCCAAAAATAATTTATTAAAAGTGTCTAAAGCGTCATCTGGATCATTAAACATATCAATAAGGGACCATGGTTGTTTTGACAGATCATCTAGAAATTTATCAGCGTTGAAGTTCTTTAAGTACCTGTATTTGATTGTAAAATGAATTGGACCTTTATTAACATTTTTGATAGTTCGTTTTGTGAAAATTATTGGAAAGTGGTCACTAATAGAAAGTATAGGGACAGCAATGTATGATATATTTTGTGATTGATTACTATAGACATGATCAATAATAGTTGATGAAGTTGATGTAACTCTTGTAGGCTGTGTTATAAGTTGTGACACATTAAATGTATTAATAATATTATTCCATGCTGAGTTATTTGAACCTGTAGTTCCAAAATTAAAGTTAAAATCTCCAAAAAGAATTATTTCTTTGTTTTCAACAAATATTTTTCAAGAATTTCTTCAATGTAATCATTCCATGAAGTTAATGACGAAGGTGGCCTATAAATGTAGCCTATCAAAAACGGTTTTTGCTTTTCAAGTTTCATTTCGAGCCATATTGATTCAGTATTTTCAGATTGTAAATCAGATCTTAGTTCACATGGCAATGAATTTTTAACAAACAAAACAAGTCCACCACCATTTGATTTTCTGTCACGTCTAAAGAGTTGATAATTGTTTAAAGATATCTCTGAGTCAGCAAAAACATCACTTAGGAAAGTTTCTTGTAGGCCTAGTATGTCAATGTCTGGATATTTGTCAACTAAATTTTTGATTTCATCTATTTTAGGATACAGGTAGTGAATGTTTAAATGAAAAAAGTTAATTCCTTTTTTGTCGAATGTTACTTCACTCAAAGTTTGAAGAGGCAAATCTGTTCTTTCATCATAATCCATAGAATTTAGATTTTCAGAAATAGGTTTAATATGTTTTGTTATCCTTTCATTTTGATTTGTAATGTTCAGTACAGGTTCATCACGGTTTTCATTTAATAAAACTGGTGTGGTCTCATCCATGTTGTCTTTGGCCAGGGTTTCCATGGTCCCTGATACATTCGGAATCTTTGATGGGGATGTTGATGTCGCCGAGCATTTCCATGCCAGATGTTGGCATTCCGAAAATTTACACTTTCTCTAGAGAAATTGTTTTCTGGTTTTCCGGAATTGTTGGTATTAATCCCAAGGATTTTTCTAATGCCTGCATTAATTTGCCTTCCCAATATAGCTGAACCTTCTTTATTCAGTTGTACTTCATCATAGTAGAGATTCTGATTTACCTTATCATATTTCATGAATGCGCTTGTATTATCTAGGAAGAGGAATCCTTTGTTCTTGCAAAGCTTTTCTAGTAGATTATTTGCTTCATCAATATTTTTTCTTGATAATAAATCTCTCCTTTTTGGCAGAATGGATGATACAGCTATTTTCACATTTTGGTTTGCTGATTGTATGGAAGTAACTAGATCAGTAAAATCTTCACATATGGACTGAGGAGAGTTCGCATTTGAGATGTTTTTTATGCCTGTGTGTAGGACGATTATATCAGCTTCTTTTGTCTGTGTTTTATTGTGAGTTATGTCCTGAATGGTTGCTTCACTGGTTGATTTTATGCTTACATTTACTTGTTGTGAGTTCATTTTCTTTCGTATTAGTCCCTTGGTTACGGAATCTCCCAGGATGAGTACCTCATATTTCTTTGTTGTTGGATTTGTGCTTCTTTCAGGTGAAGAAGAATTTTTTTCTGTGTCAGCTGTTTTTTGGCATGGCTTTGATGGTGATAATGACTTTGTATTTTTTGATGATGTGACAAAGTCTTTTGTGTTCTGATTCGCTTTCTGGACTGTTGTTGATATTTTATTTTGAATACCACCATCATTTACAAGTTCTTTCCTTAGATGTTGCATTTCATGCTGGAGTGAGTTAATGTCTGTTTTTGATGACACATTCTCTATTCTGTTTTTCACATGGTCAAGTGAGCTTGCAAGTTCCTCGAATTGCTCTTTTATTGATGACACATCTGTCTGGAGTGTGTGTATACAATCTTGTTGTATATGCTTTGCAGAGGCCTTTTCACGCAATGCTTTATTTTCTTGTTTTAAGGACTGATTTGTAATTTTTAGTTTAGCCATTTCTTCTTCAAGTATTAAGATCTTAGCATTTTGGCCACTATTAAATGTTTTATTTTCTGAGAGTCTGTCCTTTAAGTTGTTGATAATTGACTGAAATTTTTCATTTTCAGATTTGAGATTGTCTTGGCTTTCGTTGTAGTTCATGTTTAAGTCCTCTTGAAGGCCACACTGTACTGAGAAATCACATTTTTCTGTATTTGAAGAAACAGATATTACAGATTTAGGACAGGTGCTGATACTTGAATGTGACAGTCTTGTTGTATTACTGTTAATTTCGTAGCTATCATCTTCACTCACGCTGATGATAGATTTGACATGGGTTTCCTCGTGTAGAGATTTTACAGAAGTTTGATTGTAATTCACTGTTTGACTCTTTGTTTCAGTAGGCCTTTGATGATATTGTTTAAAGTTTGAGTTTATTGGGCTGACACTTTTAACTGGATAATTTGCTGGTCTGGAAAGCTTCTTTTCATTTGATGTTGACTGAATTTCTTGTAGTTTTCTACTGAAATATTCCTGATCAATTTCATATCCTCCTTTCTTTGCTGCCTTTTTTGCTTTTTTCATTTCTTTTCCGAGTTTTAATATTTCTTTGTCAAGAGATGGGCCAAATAGTACATTGGATACTGTGCTAAGGAGGCTGCTAGATTTTCTTTTAGTAAACTGATGTCAAATTGTTACTGATTCTCTACATTTTTTCACTCTGATTTCAATAATCACATGTTGTAATATGTGAAAAGACAGATAAAGAACCTACCTTAAAATGAAGTTTTCCAATCTTTATGCTCGTCCATGACTCCTCTTCAAAAGGATCACAACCACTTACCACCAGGTTACCACGGAAACGGTCAACAAGATTGTCTATATCTAGAACAGAAATCCATCTTTGTTAAATATATCAAACTAATATTATCATATAAAAATATCAGCTTATAATAGCTTCTAAAAAAATAACATACCTATAGGAAAACGTGTAATTCTGAACATCAAAGATTTAAAAATAAAAGCATAATTTACTACTTTTTTCAATGAATAAATTAAAATTCAAGCAAGTAAAAAGGAAGCAAATATTTTATAATAAATCAATTCCTGTATGCCTTTATGACCACCCATAATAACAATAAACTTACTATTATATTACATTTTTTTCGTTACTTATAATATTTTATGATATTAAAAGATTTCAACAAACCAACGCAATTAAAAATGTCTAAACTCGTTTTGCTTTCTTGAAACTAATGAAAATTCACAAAAAAATCATGCACACCAGATACAAATCATATTAACAGAAATTTGTTTCAATCAGTACTTGGCAACCTCTATTACCCTTATCCATTTTCCCAGATTTACAATTGACATAAAAAAGCCTTTTTTCTTACAAATGCTAAGAAACATTTACATAACCGTAACATTAAGTAAGAAACAAAACTATTTTGATAATGGACCCTTAATGACATTTCTGTCTACTAATGTATTTTGTGGTAACAGAGAGAGTTATTTGAGAACTATACCTTATTACAGTGGCAAAAGGGGAAGCAAAACTACCCTAACTTGTTCTCTGAAATCATTAATTTACAACAGCTTTGTGCTGAACCCTTCTTTTCCGCACATATTATAGCAGTCTTTCTTTAAATTTACTTGTTTTAAATATAGTGTATGAAGTAAACTTTCAAAAAAATGCGTTACAACTATCTTAATCTCTAGATGTTTCTCATGAAAATGTTTATAACTTTGTGAACATACTAATACTGGCAACATTGAACAATTTTTTTAAGGAATGATTTTGTTTAACCATAAGCCTGCTGGCAACAACAGATTTTGCACAAGAGCTAGTGTAGACCAAGATAACTGGGATCATGGTCTCTGCACTGTTGTCTGTCTATTCAGCAGAACTTTTTTTTTAATATTTCCTAGAAATGATAAATGGTTTTGTCCAGATTGAAAGCTATCAGTTTCTCTACTTGCTATAGAGTTTGTAAGCGGATGCGCAGGCTGGTCTGGATCCATGCTGGTCGCAAACCCATTATGTTGGTTTTGTCGTGACACGGCTCATTTGATTACATGTTGTGTTACATGTATCAAACTTGGGTATACGATGATGGTCTTAATGTTACAACATGAAACAGGAATTGTCAAAAAACCAAATAATGATTCTTAGTTTTCCTGTACATTACACGTGAATTTGCCACAAATGAATAAAACAAAAACTTGGACAAAATGCACAAAGACACTTATTGACAACAGTACAACAAAAATTTAGTTGAAATCCATTTAGAAAAGAATGGGGATCAGTAATGCCCAAGGAAGAAATTGTATTCAGCCTGCCTGATTGCTGACATTCACCATTCTAATAACAAATTTTAATTTGAAAAACCTGATTAAAAACCTGCAATGACACCCGGACTCTACTGAAATTTTGTCATAAGAATATTTACCAAAACAGTCCTGAGTATCCCCCTCTTCTCTACGTTTGAGTATTTTCTGTTGTAAGGCGGTCACACTGTCTCTACAGATGAGGAGGTATTGTGACTCGTTAGCTAGAGACAGTCTACTCTTATCTTCTGCTGCAAGAAAACAAAAGTCTATTAAAATAGTTGCCAGCATTTGAATAGTTTAATTATAATGACTGTTTTGTTAACAAAAAATATATTCAGCAGATTTTTTGGAATGACAATGACATAAGATAACAAACTTGCTCTTTCCACCAGTACTGAGACAGGCCAGCCTGACATACTCACATCTTACCCAACTATTAATACAGCATTATGGATATTGAAGCCCTTTTAAAGTAACAGTGTCCAAAGCAGTGTAGGTCTGTTACACAAAATTGGCAAAGAATGGGTTAAATCCATTTTGAATGATTAAAAATAGAGCAAATATTTGTAAATTCTTAGCTCTGTAACGCTTGTTTGATGGATGAAATCATTAGTAATAATGATTCTGCCAATATATTACTGATTCTGCCAATAATTATGACAATCAGTATAATTGTGCACTGCAAAATAGTTCCAAAATTGGGGACATTAAAAAAAAATAATTTAAGAACTTGAATTAAAAATCTAACAAAAAAATATCATGACCTGCTGTCAAAGATATTAAGTCTTTTTTTCATAATTCAGTTCTTTATGGTTTCGCCAAAATTTAAATCAGTCCAGAATTTGACAATCATTACTACAAACCATCATCATTTTTCAATTTGGTCACTCTATTATCTCCCGTAGCTTGACGTATCAGACGACATCCAGGTCTACATAATGCTTCACTCAACCAGTCTCCAACCTCGTTACCACAATCGTAACTTTGTACCCTGTGAAATAACATATACAAAAAATTTGTACTATTATTTTGTAAACATGGAGTTATCTACTTTTTCTAAACAAAGTGGAAAAATTAATCATTTTTCATTAATACAAGAATCATATTTTAAACATGAGCACACTAATTTGTACAATTAGCGGCACTGAATTTGAAATTGTCTACAAGTTTCAGGGACTTCAATATTTAACTTAACCTGTAACAGAAGATAAAACACAACTCAAAAGCCTGCATAAAAATAATTTCATATTATAATCTCAAATGTACCTAAAACCTAAAACTTTCAAGAGAAAGCATTGACATATTCATCAATTTTAGACTTGTTAAGAAACCTTTAACTGATATCAAGAACCAGTTGTTTTTTTAAAACATATAAAACATACAAACAATTTTTCTAAATAAAAATTTTGAGTTATATTTTTTTTTTCACAATAAAGGAAAGACAATCATTCTCTGTATAGAATGTAGAAAATATAAGGAGTTACCTTTCTTGCATTAAAATAAACATGTTCAACTTGACACATATATGAATGTAAGACTGAGATTGAAGATTTTTTTGTCTGTTAATTTTTTTTTATTAAATACCAATTTCAACACATTTTTTGTCATGTCTTGATTTTTGGGTCTGCCTATACGACTTTTCTGGGTAACTTACCAGAATTAATGAATTTTCCAGCAAGAGATCAACTTCTGATTCTACATGATTTCTAGTTAGTTTAAACATATCTATTCAAGTTCCATTGCGAAAACAAGTTCTTGAGACTTTGATTAATTACTTTCGAGTCTATTTCATGGAAGTAACCAAAACTAGTGTCATATAAAAATAAGTAGTGTGGTCATGACCCAAGTGGGGCTCGCACTCATGATCCCTGGATTGAGGTACAAGTAATTTTCTCTACAACCATCTGTGATATAAATGACATTAGGGACAAACAGACAGGAAACATCAAAAGGGACATAATACTGACAAATTGTAAACCTGAGTTATATAACCCCTTAAATTGCTAAATTTCTTATATGGACTGGTGCTCCTTGTGGCTGATGGGTTGCCTTTAATGGTTGAGGCATAAGAATTGCATGGTTTATCCCTGAGTGATCATAAAAGGCAACTGAATGGGTTTGAATATCTGGAGTCTTTGCATTTCTTAGTTAGCCACCAAATGTGCAGGCTGGTCTAGCTCTATACTGGTGGTAAAGGCTTATCAGTTTTGGTTCCAACAGGGTAAAAAATGTCACAAAATGTAACCTGGTCTATTATCTTATTGCTGGATAAATTAAAATTGAAACTTCTTGCCAAGTAGTTTTTGAACAACCAACAACTAAGTTTTATAAAGGAATTTAGAATTTTAGAGAAAAATATTAGATGAGTACAAAGGGCCATAACTGTTGAATTTTTATTGTCATCAAACAGAAATTTCTCATGTTATATATCTGTAGAATTATCAACAATAATTACCCTCATTTGTTTAAACTTTTATCAAAATATTCTTAAATGGTTAAAATATCACAAAATAATATACATTGTATATGTGCTATATAGTTATCAATATAATTGGACTGATGGATGGACAGATGATGCCAAAATTATGGCAGTAGATTAAGATTCATTTCATTTCATCTCCTTAAAAAAAAATATAATTTGTCAGAATACAACAAATTTGAAAAGAAATTTGTTTCGTTTGTTTGTTTGATGTAATACGGCCCACCAACACAATATAGCTAGGTTACATGGCGCAATAACTGGAAAGATTTTAGCTAACTTCTGCTTTTACAAACTTAAAGGGTATCTATATCATATGAAATATATTTATAAAATTTATCAACAGTAAAATTATACCGATTCCCAAAAAAGTTGTAACATAGAATGTCTCTGTTATTTAACACACATGATTATTGTACGTAAACAGAATAAAATGTTCTGAAAAAAAAAAAATTATTTGCTGTTTAAAATAGGGTTATATCCATTTAGCAATGATTTTGTGCATGCATCATTCGCTTTTTAGGCAATTATCTACCATGTTAATTTCATATGAGCATTTTAGAAGTATTCTTTTTTAAAATTCAAACAATAATTTTTGCAACAGATATACAGCTTTAGACACTTTAAAGCAACACAAAAGATAAAAACCATTTCACCTGCTGAAGCTAAGAGATGCCTATACATAAACAAACTTCAGTTATTCAAACCCATTTAATTGCCTCTTACGATCATGCAGGGATAAACGGTGGCGGCAATTCTGATGCCTCAACCCTAAAAGGCAACCCCTCAGTAACAAGGGGCGAAATAATTAAGCGAAATTTAGGCAAGCTTTAAATATTTCACAATTTATCTTGTTGAACTGTGAACACTGTTTTAGGTGGTGCTAGGGGACGTATCAAATATTGCACTTTTCCATTATCCCTCATGCTCATGAACAGACTCAATCAAATTGAGTCTGCAATTTTCACGTAATTTTGTTGTTTTCAATGCTTCTGAGGGACACCCCCCCCCCCTTCCCCCCTCTCCCGATTTTTGTATATAAAGTTTTTACTGTACCTGTCTCCACACACTTTAGAGCTACATAGACTGGCCTCAGTTTCATGTTGTGACATTGTATCTAAACTAACACTCATTGTTTCCATTTCTGTAATAAAGTTTTTTCATTCTTTATCAAAACTTATAAATACATTTGTAATTTTAGCAATTGTGAGAAAAGCTTGAAGTGTACTTGAATAGGAAAGCAATTCAGCTGGCTCACAGATGATAATTGGTTCTAGTCAGGGACATGCTCTTGCCTGAAATAATGCAAGAAGGGGCACCTGAGGTCTTCTTCCATCTGGAAAGCTATTATTTTACTTTAAAAATTTTGTTATGACTAAAACCGAACCAAAATAATTAAAAATTTGCCAATCATATTAATTAGAAAACAAAACAAATAAATATAAAACATTATGTGACAACTACTTAAGGAAAAAAAACAACATTGACAACAACAAAAATCTTATTCAATCACTAGGTCAAAACCAGTCTATAAAATGTTTTAAATACCAGGAAAATCTAGAAGCAGTCTGTTATTGTTGAGATCAATGGATGATTTAAGGTGACACAGTCTACCCTCCCTCTTCTGGCTCATGGCAATCCCACTCTCTGTAACCACCATCCATTCTCTGTCATATAGTAAACCTCGGTCACACAGTGGCCACTCTGTAACCTTGTTAAGAAAATTATAGAGTTAATGATATATTACAGATCTTCATGTTTAACTTAGCTTAATATCATAATTCTTTATACATATTTATTTGAGAGTGCCATATTACAGATCTTCAATTGTATATTCTATAGATAAACTAGGCTTAATATCATAATTCTTCATACATAATTATTTGTGAGGGCCCTCAATGAGCAAGTGGTCAACTTAAAAACTGCTTGCCCATTAATGATCAGTCTTCCTAATGAACATGAAGTTTTTGTATTTGAAACAACCTTCGAGAATGCTGGGGGAAAACTGGTGGGTCTACTGAGGGTACATGCTTGTAACTATGTTAACTGACATAACCGGCAAAAGAAAACAGGAAGGTCTTCCACCATTAGAATAACTTGTAAAAGATAAAAAGACCTAAATTGTCAATGCTTGTGTGGCCTACAACCAAATACAAGATATGTGCTTTAAAGTACAAAGCAGCTCTTAGTATGTTACTAACTTGTTAAAGGTCTGATGGGACATTAATGCATCAAACAACAATAATAAATTTGTTCAGAATAACTTAAGTATTAATCAATTCTTAGCCTGCTACAGGCAACTGAATCCACACCCATGTTAACAGGGAAGACCATGATCAGCCAGCACATCTGTGTTTTCTGATCATAGTCTGCACTGTTGGCTATTCAGTCAGTGCTTACTTTGAAATTTTACTTAAAGATTGCAAAAGCATTTGTCCGGACTGAAAGATGGATAATTCCACAAAGATACTTACTTGGAAAATTTTGAATACACTTAAAGTTTTTCCTAACTATCAAGATAAGGTTTTGACCAAAGTATCTTGAATGTTATCATTAGCTTGTTCTTAACACAAAATATATCAAAATAATTTACCGCTCATAAATGAAACTGAAGTAAATTTTATTTGTAAGAAAACTGATGAAACATTGTTGCATACTTTGAAATTTTACCTAAAGATGGCAAATGGAAAAGTTCATGAAAGATATATAGTGGGGTTATATAAACTTTAAGTTTAGGATTTACTTCAGTATCTTCATTGTATAAAGTTTG